TTAATTTAATATCGGTTTTTACTTTTTGTAAACCTAAGATATTAACAGCTTCTTCTGATATCACTGATGCTTGGGATCCTTGGTCTATAAGCGCATGTAGTTCTTTATATTCTCCTCTAATTGTGTTCCCTTTAACTATTGCTGTTGGTAGTAATACTACTTCGCTTTCATCTTTTTTTGTTACTGCGATCACCTTAGTTTTTGTTGATTTATCCTTTTTTTCTTGTTGATGCTCATTATGTAGCAAGGTATGATGATCTCTACTATTACATATCTTACATGTGTACTTTGATATGCATTTGTCTTGATTTTTATGGCTCAGGCAAATTTTACACGTGTCGTTAGCGTTTAGAAATGCTCTTTTATTGCTGATAGGCAATGAACTAAATGATGAGCAGCTGTATATTTTGTACCCCTGTTTTCTACAAAATGAACAGTTAAAGTTTATAGATGTATTTATTTGCTGATTTACTGGTAATCGTCTTTCAAAATTTGACATTGCTGAAAATTTTCTGCTGTCGTTTGTTGTATGTCCCGCCTTATTACAGTACGCACATATTTTCTTCGGATAATTTATCTTTCTATCGTCTGTTTCTTTATTTTTCATAGCATCTAGCGCTTGAAATTGATGTTCTAAAAATGTTTGTACCTCATCTAAGTTTTGTAAGCTTTCTTAATAATATTCGTGCTATTAAAGGTTCTGCATTATTAAGGTCGATACCCATTCCTTTTATTGTATTAATGCATTCGTTTGTTGTGTCTGTTAGCTGCCTTATACTTTTAGCATCCCCTACCGTTGTAGATGGTTGGTCGAGTAATTGATCTACCTGTGTTCTAAATAACCACCTTCTGTTATTGTATCTTTTTTGTAGCATTTCCCAGGCTGTTTTATAATTAGCCTCAGATACATTCATATGCTGGATTAATCTGCCAGCTTCACCTTTTACTACTGCCTTTAATCTATACATTTTTTCGGAATCTGGTATATCTCTTATATGTATAGCTTCATGAAACAAATTAGAAAATGTGTTCCACTCTTTTACATCTCCGTAGAACGTCGGCATCTTGAATGGTTCTAGCTTTACCGGCTCTAATTCATTTTTTACCACTAGTTCTGCTTTTTTTTTACTTTCATTTAATTGATAAAGTTTTTTATTTAGTTGGGTATTGATCTGTTTATATGTTGTTCTGCCATTTTTACTTATTTCCAGTGTGTCATTATATATAATCTCTATAATTTTTTGTTATTTTTTTAATTCTTCTATTCGCCAATCTGGTACTTGAAGTTCGTTGTTGTAATGAATTTCTAACATTGCATCTAAATCTTCTTGCAAGTCTTCAATCAGCCTCATTAACCTGGTTTCTAATTTACTGATTTTTTGAACCTGTTTTTTAGTGTCAACTATAGTTATATCATTGTCTTCTGATATTTATCCGCTTCACTTTCTTCTTTGTTGACTTTTTCCGTTGTTTCAGTGGTATTATCGGTTTCTAACATCTTTTTATAATACTTTTGGATTGTATCGAACCAACATTCTTTAAGGTACTCATCTGTTTCTGCGCCTTCTTTTAGTAGTTCTTCGTGGTTTACCTGAAATTTTTTCCAGTTGTTTTCCACTTTTTCTATTTTATCGGCTGTCTTACGTAGTCCCTTTTCTTTAATTTTTTCTACTGCAGTTATTATTTCTTCTCCTAGCTTTTTTTGCGCTTCATAAAGCTTTAGTTTTTGTGCCATATTTGTTGTTTTTTTTTTATATATAAAATCTTCTTTTTCGAGTATTTTAATTTTTTTTTTTTTTATTTCTATTATTATTTATTACAATGTTTCTATGATTTTCTATTTCCTTTTCTAATATTAGTATCCTTTTGTTTATTTCTTCCACTCTTTTGTTAGGTGGGTTTGTTTGTACTCTCTTCTCAAATTGGCTCTTTCTTTTCTCCTCTAACCACCTCTAACTTTTGGTTTTTTTACCGCCGGAATTCTAGTAGCAGCTTCTTCCTTTTTCCTTTGCTGCCTGGCCTGATATTCTTCTATTGTCAGCTTTTTTGGCCCACTGGTATTCATCCGCTGAATGGTTGTAAATGGATGGTTGTAAGGCATCCACTAGATACTGCCGCTGAATTTAGCTGCCGCTGTTTCTTAGCTGCCGCTGTCTTCTTGGCTGCCGTTGTGTCGTAGCTGCCGCTGTCTTCTTGGCTGCCGCTGTGTCGTAGCTGCCGCTGTCTTCTTGGCTGCCGCTGTTCCTTAGCTGCCGCTTTCTATTAGTAAAAGGTCACTGCCGCTGTTACTCCCGTTGGATTGACCCTATTTCTACCTAATATTACAATTTTTAAATCCTATTGGTGTCTATAGCGATTAACGCCTCCGACCCTGATCAGAATGTGTTAGTAAAACGCCGCTCCGACCTTACAATTTCTCTAACTAAATGTATATTTTTTTTTTTTCTGCCGCTGCCCTTCAATGATGCACGGCTTCCTTCGCTGCAGCACTTCGGCCACTAAGCGCCGGGAGGATACCAAACAAACAAATTTTCTGTCTGCTTTTTTTTTTGTTGAAATATTTCTTCTTCTTGAAGGAATATTCCGCACCAATATAAAGTTTTGGTGATTTTTTTTTTAATATCCTTAGGTCTCTTACCACAGGTGAGGGAAAACGCTAAGGCTCGAAGGACCAAATGTTCAGAATTAAAACAACTGAACCGTTTGAGTATTTGTAAATTACTGATTTTATTTAAAACAACGTTCTGTATTTATACAAAAATATCTTAAGATTAATTTTACATCAAGGTTATTATTTTATTGGACTGTATTACATTTTGTTATTGTTTGTAAAAAAGGTTAAAAAAGGACGGAAGTCCCAACACTAGGGATTTTCCTCCTATTGTTTCTATAAATATATTTATTGTTATAATTAGATACGGATGCTCAAATGTTACAATGCTTGCTATATTAATATAATGTATTTTTACCCTTGTACATTATTCTGGGAATTTAGGTGATAAGGTTTTAAGCGATAATAATAAACTAAAATAATATAATATATAAAATAATTAAAATATTTATAAATTTATGTTCATGATTGAACACTACTACGGAACAACACGCTACGCAAATGATACAATAAGGCAGTTCTTTTTGGATTCTTATTACCATATGTAGTATAATGGACTATACGATGAGATGCGGTAGGTTTCAAATACAGCGATATTAAGAATTGAGTAGGTGTACGGGATATGTTATAGTCCAGATAGGATATGGTCGGATAACCCTGACAGCTATCATTTAAAGATTCGTCTTCATGAGTCACCTCATAACCAGTCCAACGAGAGAAAGCTGACACAAAATCCAATACAGAAGCCTTAGGTATATAGACCAGCACATCATCAACGAATTTCCACCAGGCTTTAACATGGTGAGCAGCAAAAATGAGGTTGTAACATATTTCCAACCTGGAATCGAGAAACAATGTAGCCAGCAGACCAGAAGCAGAGCCGCCTTGGGGCAGACCCTCAAGTTGCTGGTACCAAACGGAGTTGAAAGAGAAATAATTAGCCTGATGTAGGATATAATCCAACAATTTCCTTAACAGATCCATACTTATAGGACAACGATCCTGAAACCAGTCGAAAGACATTAAATTTTCTAGGACCTGCCATAAAGGCGCCAAAGGGGTCTTAGGGTACATTTCTTTTATGTCTAAGGTTATAAACACATAATTAGGAATAGGGCTTAGATCCAAGAGATGAGTAGACAGCCTATCCCCCAAAATTTTTGTTAGAAAATGAGTGCATAGTTTATGCAAAGGGCCAATGTACCAATCAATAGGGCTGCAAATCGGACGAATGGTAAAATCTGGTTTATGGGTCTTTATACAACCATACAAATAAGAAATCTGAGGCGGGCCCTGTAATTTAACAAGTAAATCTTTGTGTATGTTGGAGGGATAAATGGAAGGATTCAAATCATACAAATGACGCGAAGGTAAAACCACCCTCTTATACAAAGCAAGCAAACGCTTCAACAATATATCTTTATCACCAGTGAACTCGATACAAGCACCGGAAGACAAATAGGAGGCGAGCCAAGTGTCCATCTTCGAAATACAATCGGAACGAAACATCAATATAGTTGTCTAACCTTTATCAGCCTGAACCATAATTAAATCATCATGTTTCTTCAAGAAAGCCAGTGTTACCTGGTATATATGGGACAGCATCCTATGATGCAAAGATGGAATCTGGTGCTTTAACATGGCATCCACAAACAAAGAATAATGTGACTCTAACTCAACCCGATCATACATGCTTAATAGCATTCCATGCTCAACATAGCCAACGTAATATCGCTCCAAGGCCACCATATAGGAAGAAATGTCAGGAACGGTAGGAGGTGAATATTTAGGACCGAACCTTAAAAGTATCTGTACCTCATGGGGAACTGATAAACCACTTAAATTCAAGAAACCACCAAACACCACTTCGGGATATATTAGACGAAATTGCTCAAGTATGGGTACATTACACTGAAAAAAAAAAGTTGTAATATCAACAATTTTGACTTTTGTTTCAAGTATTTTTCTGAGTCATATTGTACCCAACAATGTCTAGCAGTTCTCACAACAATGTAAACATTTTTGACGAAATTGTTACCATAACAAGTTTATTATTTAAGATAACAATTAATCGTTTTTGACTAAATAACAATTTATTTGTCATTTCAAGAATTTTAACTTTTGTTTTTACAGTAAAAATTTGTTAATTCTACTAAATAAATTGTCGTCGTAATATGTTACGTTAAATTAAGATACTAAATCAAAAATAAGATATAACACAGTAGTTGTATGTATAAATGTTTTATTTTGTTAATACCTAAAGAATTGTACACAGATTTAATTTATATTAGATAATTTATTACATAAGATACATTGGGTATTAGATAATAGATAAGAAATTTCTTACTCTTAAGCAAATTAATTTAAAATCTTAACATAACCTCTCCATTATTTAATGTACATTGTTTAATAGGATAAGAAACTTCACTAATTAATTTAATATAATAACAATTACATTTGTTTAAAAATTTGTAGGATTGAAATTTATTTGAAAAAACAGTATTAATTTCTTGACCTATCACATAAAAGTCATTAGTCGATTCATAAAATATTGTTATTATAATACATATAATATTGTTCCATCGTACGTAACTACCTTTTTCATATATTATACCCTTGTAAGATAAGCCATTTACTTCATACCCAATAGTAAAGTTTGTGCATAAGTTTGTATAAAAATTGAACTGAGTTAGATCAACTAGTGCAACTTCTTTAAGATCAGATATATCCTTTTGAAAGAAATTATTTTCTAATGTATTTGATGCAAATGTAAGGGAATGCTTTATAGCTAATGTGTATGGAATGTTTTTCCTTGAAGTAATAACATTTGCATATTTTTTGAAAAATGCGTGCTTTCCTTCAAATCTAAAACACCACAAATGCCTGAGTGGACCCACGGATTTTATTGCAGAAATATAATGAACCATGAAGTGATATTTCGGTTATAATTTTTCACCAAAATATTCAACAAAAAATTTGTTATGTTTAGCGATCAAAAGCTGTAATTTTTTTAAAATTGCTTCGTCAAATTCTTCTAATAAAACGATGTCTACAATTTCCACGAAAGTTACTAAAAACTCATATACAATATCCGATTCATGAATTAAATCTCCAATTATTAATAGGACACAATGCAAGAAAAGTTTCATTTCAGATGCATTCATTTTTATATTACAATTTTTTAGTTGCATTTTTGTAAATGGTGGACTTATATTTCTCGTGTTTGTAGGCCCATATTCAAACATTTGTTTCCTATAATTAAAAGATTCCAAAGTAAAAAACTTCTTTTCGTATATGAAATAATTTAAGATTTTATGTATATTATATTTTGCGACTCCAAGAAATATATCGTGCATAATATCGCACATTTTGTTGTCAGTAACATGAAAGAAGGGAACTGTATTCCATATAGAGTCTTCTCTAACGGCAGATATTTCTTCCCCATTCATTTGAAGGTTTTCTATTTCTGATCTATACCTGCTTTTATTGCGAATATTTTCTTCAATTTCGACAAATGTTGTTTGACAGTGTTCTTTTGAAGCTGAACAAAATCTACAAAAATATTTACTATTAAAACCTGAATTAAAACCTAAAACTTCGTTTAAACCTAAGTTATCCCCTAAAATTTGACCTATACAAAAGTAAATAGTGGTAATGGTTCCATCTATGCTAATGTCAATTCCATTTGTACTTAGATCTTTAATGGCATCAATAAGGTATTTGAGAGTTTGGTGATTACCAAAGTGTGATAAATCTTTTGCGTTAACAAAACCCGCAACAAAAATGGTGCTTTGATGAGATAACTGGTTTTGTGGAATTACTGGAACTGAAAAATATATACCACAAACTGAATACTGATGGCCCCCAAGAGGGTTATTTATTTGAAAAGAATCAAAATAAAGAAATAATGGAAACATTTCATTATTAAATTGACTAATTTTACTTTTCCATAGATTTCCATTTATAAAGTGATTAAGCCTATTACACGATTTGATACTTTCAATATTTTGTAAAGTCGCCTTCAAAACATTTGGTGATTTAAAAAACTTTTTAAGTTGATGTTTTATATTACAAAGGCAACCTTCAATTATATTTTCTTTTAATGTTGGATAACCACGAACAACAACTTCATCTAATTGTTTAGATATTGTAAATAACTTGGGGTGCTTGTATAAATTTAATGTTTCTAACTTTTTTATTAACATGAATTCAGAGAATATATCCTTAAAAGGATTTCTAGAATATAACATTAATTCATTAAATAGTTCCCTTTTTTCATGTTGAATAAAGTGGTGAAAAATCTCAAAACCCTTTAATATCGGTTCAATTATATGCTCCACAATAAACGTTTGAAATTCAGGAATGTCTTTTCGATTGAAGTTGATTTTTGAGTGCAATTTTAAAGCAAATCTTAATATATCCATTTCTATTCATTTTTTAATTTGAACGATGTCAATAGTATAGTTACCTGGTGAAATAGACTTCACATTATTTACGATACTGTCATCTTGAATATCCTCTTCTTCATTATTTATTGAATTTTTAGCTAGGCTTTCAAGTTCATTAGCTCTTAAAGTTTTTGGCAATGAAATACAACTTATATCAAGAGGTGAATTGACATCATGTCTTCGAATATGATTCCTAAACTTATACAAATTTTGAAAATGTTTATTACATTTGTCGTAAAGACATATATACTTGTAGGTTGTAGGTACTTTATGAATACTTTTTAAGTGAGTTATTAAATAATGCGACAAGCTAAAAATAGTTTTACAAATAAAGCAAATATGTGTGGATTTTTCTTTAAAACTTTCAAATGGCATGTCTAAGTTTACATAGAATATTTTCAATTTTTGAAATTTTTTCTTTTGAAGGTATTTCGTAAACACACATCTGTAAAAAGATCCACACATATTTGCTTTTAAATGAAAAATCTAAATTAAATACAAAACATATTTTCATAACTAAATCTAATGCACTAAGTACACTTCCTACTTTATACTGAATATTATTTAAATTCACATAAAATTCTTTTAAAGTTTCTGGAGAATTACCAACAACAAAAACCTTCGGCTGAAACGTTAGTCCTTCTCTTAAGGCTAACTCCTTGAGTTCATCCACTTTTTGTTGATAATTATTAATATTAAAAATATGTGTTATCATATCTTCTTGCGCGTCCGTTATAGATGGCTTACTTATTTTACTGATCCGTGGAGGTAAAATAATAGCATGTAGTAAGTTGAAAAAATAAAAGTGCTTGCAATCTAGAAAAATATTCGTTATTTTAAAAAATATCAGATATATAATATTACTCCATACTTATATCACTTGCTACTTTCATTTTTTCAAAATATTGCTGATTTAGTTTATCTTTTATAGACGACGGAAAAAATAGTTTAGTCACTTTCTGCACCAAGTCCTCTATTTTTTCAAACATTATCATTTCTTTGCCAGGATAGAGGGTTGAAAAGTCAATATCAATTAACTCGTGACCATTACAATCGCCGTATCTTGGCCATTGATCAAGAAACTGCTGTATTGATTCTTTATGCTCCTTCATTCGTTTAACTGAAGTCTCCTTCCACGGAGTCATTATATGTATCATTTGGTGTGTTCCAATAAAGCCATTTTTTTCTCTTCTCAAATTCAACATCACCATTTTCTGCAGAAATTTCAGCTTCAACATTAATTTTGATTTTGAAATATGTCAATGCATTTTCTGTTGGAAACAAGTATGTAATAGATTGAGCAATTTTTATCATTACTTTTGGATCCATTTTTATAGTATTTAATATAAAATGGTCAGCTATTATTTTGACAATAGCATTTTGATCAGTATCACTTAAATATTTTGTAGTGTTATATTTTTCAATAATATCTTTACCGGCCACAGTGTTAATAAGAATACTTTTTATATCTATATTAGATTGGATAACTGGAACATTACAGCTTTCATTAATTATATTTAATGGTAGCGTTTTTCTGTTATTATATTGAGATTCTTGAAAATTTGGGCAACAAATGATTGGATCAAGCTGAAATTAAAATACTAATATATTATATTGTACGAAATTATAAAAATAACTTACATTATTTTCGAAACGCCACAGTGAAAGTCCGTGTCTAAACCTTATTTTATCAACCAATAGTTGTTCGTCATTAAAAATTTCATCGATATCATGAGAATGCATCATTTTAAAAATATCGATACTAATTATTTTTAAATTCACAAGTCTACATATAGCACCAGACGATAGCTCCCATTTTTCAAATAATAATGATATTTCAGGGCTTACTTCCAAAATATCAATATTTTCGGAAAACAAGCATTCATTCGAATAAGAGTTATTCATGTTTATTTTTTAATTTTGTGATAATTTGATAAAATAAAGTATTATATTCGAAACACATAATATTAAAAGTTCTACATATACAAATAGCTTTACAAATATTATAAATATGTTTTTAATCAAGCAAACAAAAAGAAATTTGTATGCAATATATGTATTGATGTACATTAACTAAACGTGTGCCGACATGCACGGCTATGACGCCAGTTTGCAGAAAATTTTTTAGCAACTTGTAAATTTTCTATTGCACGACACTTAACATTATTTATATTTATTATATATTATTTATTTTATATTTTTATTTAATATATTTTTTATTCAAATTAACAAACGTGTGAATTTAATAACATTTTAACGCGTACATTGTATATACTGATCGCAAAATTGTTCACAACTTGAATGATGCACGCAAAATAATTTTCTGTTCCTTTTGTTTCTTTCACTGACTCTACATCAGAGAGATGCACAAAAAACAACAAAAACAATAGTTCTATGCAAAATGCTGCAATTTTTCTTTAATTGAATGTCACAACAAAGAGTGTGAATAAAGAAAAAGAGCTAAATCGCATCATATCATACTCTGTTATCTGTTTCGGCAGTTAGAATTACAATAGAGAAGAGCATTACAAAAACAAATAAGATGCTCGAACTATGTGTTAACAATTTTCTTATTTAATATTACAATTTCTTCTTCTTGATAAAACAATCGTTACATTTTTAATTTAACAATAAAATACTTGCCAATACAATTTCTTATTTGTCCCTTCAATTAAATAACAAAATTGTTCGGAGAACAGAAAAAATGTTAAAGGAACAACTTTTTTTGTTAAAGGGTCATCAATAAATTTTCTATTGTAATGTCAACAAACTTCTTTATTAAAAAAATTGTTACCACAAGTAAATAATTGTTAAAGCAACAACTTATTTGTTACATCAAAAACTTTTTCGTCAAATAAGAAAAAATGTTATTTTAACAACTCATAATTTTTTCAGTGTACTATTATATAGCCCTACGGAAGGAGGCACGGACAAATAACGAACTAAATCTGAAGTAGGCCGAGGGAGAAATGAAGGAGACTCGTGAGTCAAATCAATTGGAGGCTCGCGTGTTAAATCAATAGGCATTAAAGAAAATGAAACGCGGGGTTTCTTATTTGAACCAGATAAAGTACAGATCCTTTTCATATTGGTTAAATTAAGAAATTATAGCAAGAATTTAATCACAACAATAACAATACCTCACCCTTAACAGACAATAAAAATGGCTGAAAGAATAAATTATTAGTTTTGGAATTAAGATATACAACACAACAATTTAAATAACGGATTTCACGCAGGCTAACAAATCTGTTTATGAACGTACATAGACAGAGGTTAATATACCCAAAAATCACAGTACCTGCCAAAAGTGATGTTAGTTTTTCAAGTTATAAGGAAAATAGGTTATTAAATTAATGAACAAACACAGAATAAACAACAACAAAAATGAGACAACAGATAAATGGTAGTGTGTAATATATATATACACACACAAGAATGAAATAAAATGAAGTGAGAGAGATTTCCAAATAATAAAGTATGAGAATTAGTTGAAGTATAGCAAAGGAATAACACGCGATAATGAATATCTATAGGACAACAAATAACAATATTGAAAGGAACAATAAGTGAGGATGTGTATATGTATGGAAATGTATTGAGACAATATATAAATAAAAAAAGGAGATGCAAATAAAACTAATGGAACGAAGTAGTAAGCAAATCAAAATGGAATAACAAAACAATAATAATGGATGAGTGAATGAATAAGAACAAAATAAATAATAATGGATGAGTGAATGAATAACAAAACAATGGAGGATGGATATTATGGGAGGATTAAAATCAATTATACAATCAATTTAAAAGTGGACTAATATAGGAATAAACAAATGATGGATGAGTGTGGGAATAGAGGAATTAACAACCAGAACAATAGTAACACACAAAATGGAAATAAAAGAAAATAGAATAAGGATTGTAAATTGTAAGATATAAAATTATAAAGTAATTTTTTTGAATGCTGAATCTCATGCGTTGTGCCTAGATTTGATAATATAATTTCTGTAAGAGTGAATACATGTATATTAGCAATTATGATGGAATATAGTAATACAAGTCATTGTACTTACGAGAGACAACAATGAGAGTGTTGGCTGATAGACGGCTTATAAATGGCGAATCCTGAAATTAATTTTAATTTAGAATTCGATTCATTTTGATTCAACTTGAATTGAATTGATTTAATATGATTTAATTAGATTTAGCTTAATTAAATTTAATGCTGATTTCTAAAATATTTAATTTTTGTGAGAAATGTTTACGATCAATGATTTAAATTTCTCAACAAAATTTTCAAAGGATTTTTCAATGAATTTTCAATGATTCTTTATCAAAATTTACTCATATATACTCAATCATGAACAGAAATAGTTTTCTGTTTGTACCTTAGCCTGTACAGGTATAAATTTTCTTGTGGAACTTTTTCGGTTTATGTATATATTTTTTTCGGTTTATGTTTTCTTGGTATATGTATTTGTATTGTTTTGGTTTAGTGATAATAGTTGATAATAATGGAATTTGCTGTGTACCTACCTATGTATCCTTTATTGCTCGGGAATCTGGATGTGTTCTGCACGATTGAGTTGTGGGCTGAGTAGATGTATAACAAATAAATGAGTGGTTTACTTTATGGACAATTGCAGCGCAGTTAATGTTTTTTTCAATTTTTCAGTATTTTCAATTTTTCAGTTTTACTAATAGGGTGAGGCAAACAATAATTTTTAGGTGACAAATACGCAGCAACATATGTAAACGGGGTTTTGATACCTGCATGGTTTACACATTGGAGACTCATATATACATAGTATGAAATATATTTTGTATGTGAGATCCTCATATTTGATTTTTTATTTTTATTATATATTTTATATATTGTTTTTAATCCAATAAATACCTTAATTTGGTCATAGGTATGCACATGTCCTATTTCCCTTCTGAATTGTTTATTCTTCTTATTCCGTGGGTGTTTTCTGTTTTTATTTTTTATCCTTGTATTCCTGTTCTGTGTATGTTGATATCCTATGCATTTTCCTTCTTAATGATAATTCCTTTATACCATATTTTTGGATTGCGTGTGTTTTATTATTTTATATATACATTATAGGCTATTTATATTTTTAAAAACCAATTTTTGTTTTTATCAGGACATGTTATATGTCATATAAACTTTGATTTCACTGATTTTGTAATTATTTATTTGTGTAGGCTATTGTGGTTTAATTTAGGAGATATTATGTATAGAAAATTGATTATTAACAAAACACTTTTAATGGACAACATCTTAATTTTGGCACTAGATATCACACACTTTTTGCTTTATGTATAAATTCACCTTGGAAAGGTTTTGCAATATTTGTGCAACATTGCGTAGCCACAACCTTGTAGCAGAATTACTTGAGTTTAACTGATCATGTGAATAACTGAATCATGCGAGATTAGGTGAGATTTAATTTTTATTTTTGGGTACACAAGTGTGAGGAGAACTACTTTAAAGACTTTCCATCTTTTTCTATTAATTCTGAAGCTAGGTAAAATGGGTACTTGTATGGGTTTATTTTGGGAACGTACTTAGAGGGGTTATTTTCTAAAAAATTTTCCTTTCCAAATTTTCCTCCATTTTTTGGCCTTATATTTCTTTTTGTGCTAGAGTGTTTTTATATGTATATTATGTATATCTGTCTCTTGCTATCTTAATTATTTATTCTTTAGCCTTATGTGAGTCTTAATATTTTTGCCTCATCTGTATATGTAAATTATATTCTCTATTTGTCTTTATCTTTGCATTGTACCTGTATCTATCTTAATTTTATGCAAACCTTGTGTTCTAAAAACGCCATATTGTTAGTTATTTTGGTACTTGCTTTGGCGCGAAATTTTTTTTTTCCCTGCATTTATGGATGTGAAGGTAAGCTTCATAATCTCATGCAGGCCTCTGAATGGCTTTTGAATTTTTGGAGTTTGTGTCTGCGAATCTAGGTGAATGGTTGCAAGTAAACCAGATGCTGCACCCCCTTGGGGTAATCCTTCTGTTTGTTGATAGCACTTGTCCTCAAAGGTGAAATAATTCCCTATATTTAAAATGTACTCCAACGCCATAGTCAACATGGAAATTGGGATCGGACAGGACTCTAGGAACCAAGGCAGACTCATTAAGTTCTTTAGAGTACGCCAGAGGGATGCAATATTGGTGCTCGGATACATATCTTTTATATCCATTGTTATGAAGACGTAACCAGGCATTGGTTTAAGTGACAACAGGTGACCAGTTAAGTAGCTCATATTTTTCAAGTTGTGTTTTGACATACGCATGGATAATGTCTCTTTTAACACATGTTGTATTAGTTGATGTAAGGGATGGATATACCAATTTAAGGGACTACAAATTGGTCGCATTGGCTGATCAATCTTATGAAATTTTATTGTACCATACAGATATGGTAAAGTTGGCCTCAAATTTGATAACATACGTTGTAGGTTTATTAATATATTTTTTGGGAAAGATAAAGGCTCTTTTTCATGCCACTGAAAAAGTGGTCTTACTATCCGACGATAATGCGCACCTAGACAATGAATTAAAGAACGTTGATCCCCTAAATACAACACATAAAAACCTCTATCCAAATTCTGATTTATCCAATTATTCATTTTAAGAATATAGTCAAATTTCTTCATCAAACATGTGGACTGTCCCTTGTCAGCCTGGACGATTAAAAGGTCTTTCTGGTTTTTGATATATTCGGTTGCATAATTATACATTTGGAATAGTATCCGTTGACTGAGATTTGGTTTCTGTTGAGCTGTCATTATTTCCAAAAAACGCAATATATGTTTCTGTATCTCCAAAGGGCTTTGATAATCTAGGATCACACACTGCTCCTGATGTATTTTGTTGTAACTATGTA